GTAAGCAAAACAATGTATATGTATTCAATACATTCAACAACGTGACGAGGTTGCGCGTCCCATCACGTCATCCCTTTTCCTTGCTCTTGCGCGACTTCTTCTTGAGCAGTTTTTTTTATTTGCTCTATAGGTCACACCATACCATAACTATAAATGATGGTCTGCAGTATGGTCAAATAGGCGCAGTTTAGCAGAGGTTTTCCAACCGTGCAAAATCTAGAGCCCAGTTCCCAGTTCATCCCCCGTCTTCGTTTCATTCTCATGAGCACGCTACTATGTGGCAAGGGGCCAATAGAAAAAAGACATTTTGTCTCCAAATCAAATGCATTTAATCACATGCACCCAACTTAGAATTGAAGAGCACGTCTCATTTCATGAGAAAATCTTCATAATAGCCATCTACATGGACGAATCAGAAAAGTTTCATGGTGCTCTGGTCGAGCTCAATGGGGATTGTGAACCGTGACGAGGGTTCGAAAGGCGGGTCCGAGGGGGTAACATATTAGAGCTAATGTCCCTAGGGAACTTGAATCGAATTCATTATGGCTACACTTCAATCGATTCAAGAAGATTTATGAAAGAGCTTCAGGTGGTGATGAAGCAGCTTGTAGGCTCCGTGGAGCAGTGACAGATGACGGTCATATTCTGGAGCGGTGAGGGTAGTGAAGGAGGGCCTGCGTGTACTTATAGAGGGACATTTTTAGGAATATTTTGCTGAGGAACTTCCGTCAACGACGGCAATCTCTCTGCGAAAAAAAAAGCCTGAAGTGCGACACTGCGCAAAATGTCTTTTTTGCCCCCCCCCCCCCTGTATGATTCGCTAAGTACATCTGTGCGTGGTATGTGTGTGTGTACGTCTGTTTGTCACGAAATTCATAGCGCCTTCGCTGCAACAGTGGAGCGCTGTATTTTGAGTATGTTGTAGGGGGTGGGACGGGAACATATTTGGTGGGGGACCAAAGTGATAACGACTGATAAGATCCGATAAGAGGCGCCAAAACGCCAATTCACGATATCCATAGCGCGCGTCCCAGCATCAGTGAGGCGTTGGTTCCAAGAAGTGATGTAGGGGTGGACGGGAACATATTTGGTGGGGGAAGAAAGTGATAACGGCTGATAAGGGCCGATAATAACGATATGCGCAAGAATATAGAGGTCACTCAAAACCAGACTTTAGATAAAGCATTTCATTTCAATATTCTTTCATTTGCGTTGTTATCATCAGCCCGAAATACCACTAGACCGCTACGCTCCCCAGAATTCCTAAAAATGTATGGTGGATGTTCGGAGAAATACGATAACGAGTACTGGGTGTTTCTATTTCAACATCAACAATCCGACCGCTAAATTACACTGACATTCGATGCATGGTGGTTGTTTACAGACACCACTTTAGCTCCGCACTCCACTGCGCGTATCAAACGGTGAGCTTCTGCAAAGATGGCAGCCTATGAACGGTCAGCTAACGCATTTTACGAAGCAACTCAATGTTTAGCGGTGAACCTAACGCTTTATCGGCTGTCCTGCTTCACCTAGGCCTTCCGTTTCATGCGCGCGGTAGTGTGCGGAGGTAAACTGGTGTAGATAAAAAAGGATTGAAGAAAATACAAACCTACACTGATTGCAAAATATATGTTTTTACTTGAACACCTAAGCTCAAAATACTCTTGAAGTTCCCTACAACGTAAACAAGTGACATTTGCTTTTACTTTCTTATTATACTTTGCTCTGATCGGAATTCTAAAACTGCACACCCGAGTACGCATTGAAAATTGCTGAAATAGCTTTGTCTATCCATGTTTTGCATAGCTACCACTCAAAATCCACGGATGTAGAGGGCCCGACAAAATTGCTCCTGTCCCGCGCGACCGAAAATGCAGAAATATGCGATACTGTCAACTGTCAACAAAAAATAACGCGCCCACGTCCCATGACTCTTTTGGGGATG